ATCATCTCCATTAGGAGCTTATAACCCTAGCAAAAGTTATATAAAGATGCTTTTTGCTTCCCTCTCTTATGCAAATACATTTCAATTCTTGGATAGGGAACTGCACAAAAGAACAACTTGAAACCAGTTACCAATGAGTGAAATAACTATCACCATCTTATTACTTGCTTTGGTAACATTAGCTAGATTCTGATCCTAGCTACGTTATTTAACCCAGAGTTGTGCCAAAGAAGTCAGTGGATTTACACCCAATATGAGATCAGAATCTGGATCTATTCCAGTCTCTTTCAGATGAAATTTCAGTACGGCACAGAGACTGCATTAGTCTCATTGGTTGAACTGCTCGTGGTGGACAAAGATCAGGTGTCATGATGATCTTGTTAGCTCAGTCAGGATCCTTTGATATTGTTGTTCCTTGTTAATAAACAGAGAAGGCCAGTTGTTCATCTTCCTCAGCATCCTTCACATGGGATTGTGCCAGGCTGTGGTTTATTGCCCCCTCATGGACAATTTGTATGCTGGGGGAGATAGTCTTACTGGCCAGTCCGCAGTGCCATCAGAACGCCGATGACATGCAACTCAGGCTGATTTTTCATGTGACCCAGAAGAGATTGGGTCTCTTTTTTCCTAGTGGCTGACTGAGAATAGGATTTGGCTGTGGGCAAGGTGGCTGAAGCTTAGTCCCCAACAAGATGGAGGTGAAGTCAGTGGGTTAGGAGAAGGATCTATAGGGAAAGGTAGTTGTGGAGGTGTCTGCTCTGCCCCATTAGTGAGGGGATCCATCCTTTCTTTGCCCAAGAGCTTTGCCATATGGGTGTGCTTCTGGGTCCCTACTCGGTACAGAATTACAAGTGGCATGAGTGCCCCAAAGTGCTGGGGTTTTCTTGTGATATCTACATTTGACGAGCTGCTGGTGACCTTTTCTTTCCAACTGTTGCCATCTGACTGCTAGACTAAATTATTGCAACCCAGTCCACAGTTTGTGGTGCAACCTCAAGACAACATGGGAACAACAGCTGGTGCAAAATACAGCTGCTCATTTTGGTTAGAGAGGTTAACCATGGGGAAAATATTACTTTCACTCTCCAATAATTGCATCAGCTCCCCATTGCTTTCTGGGTGCTAATCAAGATTTGATTTAGAAAGCCCTATAAAGTATAGATCCTGGCTGTGTGACAGACTGTCCCTCTTCCTGTGAACAGCCAAAGCAGGTATTGAGGTTCACTAGTGTGCACAAGGAAATAGGCCTCAGATTTACATTTGAATAATTTCTGAAGTTCACTTCCTAATTAACACAACACAGCAAGAATTTGTTAAACTGTAGGACAAAATTTGTTTCTAAATGTAATGCTTACAATAACAAGAGAAGTATGAATTCAAATAATTATAGCATTGTCAGCATTGACGAAGGGTCCATCTAGTCTGGTACCATGATGTCTCCAACAATGGTGGGTACCAGACACTTCAGTGCAAGAAACCCAATAGTGAGCAATTTTGAAATAACATTTCCAGTGTGACAATTTTACTACCCCACCCCACACACACATCACATTAGAATGTGGCTTATACCCTGAAGTGTGAGTATACCACTTTTTAAACAAATCCTATCCATCAAAACGGTGAATGTTCTTGTTACCCAAATAAATGTCTAGTCCCTTTTGAATGCTGCTAAACCCTTGGATTCAATGATACCTTATGGCAGTGAGTTCCACAGGATATTTGAAGCCTGACACTTGGAAGTCTGAATTCTGTTCCTGGCTCTATGCAGGAATGTTTGTGACCTTTGAGTATAGCATTTAACCTCTTTATATCTCAGTTTCTTCATGTAGAAAATAAGGTTAATATATCCCTACAACACAGAAGTGTTGTGACACTTAATTCACTAATATTTGTAAATTGGTTTGCACGTATATAAGTACCTTACTTTTGAGGATCTCAAAGTACTGTTAATGGATGATAGTGTATTTTGTGGTTGATATCCCCAGTTTATACTGAAATTTAAATAGTGCAGCAAAGAGGGATCAGCATGAATGTGCTAAAATTCCTATTTCTGTGAAAACTCATCTTTACTTGCAAAGGAAAATGAAAGGAAAACTGAGCCCTCTTCCTCTCCAGCTCCTGGAGCTGGGAGGAGTGGGGAGGCAGGAAGGCTGAGTGTCCCAAGCTCTATATCTCTCAGCCCCGGAGCAGGGAGGCTGAGTGACCATGGTCTCTGCCTCCTGGAGATGGGAGTGGAGATGCTGAGCAGGCGGGCTGGCAGCTCTTATCAGTTTCACAGATGGGCTCCTGAGAAGCCAAAAAGTTCTGTTTTGCCTCTCCCAAACCAGAATCTCTCTTGGAGACCCTTCCTGTGGGAAAACAAAACAAGAACATATTTTAAATGTTGAGACACTCTAATCACAGTTTGTGTTAACAGGTGGAGCTCTCAAGTCAATTAAGATACTGTACTGAGAATAGGCCTTTGTCTGAATTCACAGGAACAAAAACAATCACACAGATGAGGCCTTCAGGATGAACATTTACTTTTTCAAAAATGAAATTTTTCACAGGAAGGGATTTCCATTTCTGGGCCAGCTCCAGCACTGAGGAAGGATGGTCTTGCAGTCAAGACACTGGCCTGGTACTAAGCAGATCTGGTTTAATATGTTCAACTCTTCCACGAACTGCCAGTGTGACCTTGGGCGAGTTGCTCTTCTTTGTGCTTGAGGTTCCCCATCTGTAAAATGGGAATAATACTTCCTTTCTCCTGTCTTGTCTATTTGGATTGTAAGAAACATTTCCTGGCATGAAAAGCTTACAATGTGTTTTGTACAGCTCCTCGCACAATGGGGTGTTGATTTCAAATGGACTTTTACATGCCTCTGGAATACAGATGATCACGTAACAGAAGGGAGTCATGGAGCTACTGAAGGGCCACAGATTATGAAAGTAAATCTGGGAGAAAGGGACAATGGGCAGATAGAAAGCTTTTAGGAAGGGAATGAGCATGGTAAGGAGGAAAGTGAAATTTATCCTAAACCAAAACAAGGTTTGAGTGAAGGGGATGTACTCATCTGTCTGATTTTCGTTTTCCTTAAAATAAGTGTGTCCCTCCCTAATTCAGGGTTTCAGATGGTCACTGTTTAACAAAGGAATTGCCCTTTCCCCTTGTCTAGCATATTGATCAACTTATGTTAACATGGGGAATTGTCAAGCTTCCCATGAAACCTTTTCTTGATTATAATTTGTTTGTAGTGCTGATGGACAGTAATAGAACGAGGCAATCCAGTAGAAGTGAAATGTACCGGGGATTTTAATTGGAAGACAGCAAGACTGGAGAAAACATTCTGTTTTTATTCCCTTGAATTCAGACAATCGTACAGATGAAGCCTCTGCCCCTTCAAATTAAAACTTTGGCTTCTGGACATGCTGCACCATATTGTCTACACTAACAAGTTGCATTATCATAGCTGTGATAGCATGGAGTAGAAGGTATTTTTGCAATGCGTGTATTAATCCTCTGTAATATAGTTGCCTTAATCATGACTGTTTCTGTAAATTGAGGTTGTAAAATAAGTCTGAATAACAAAACTTTATTCTTCTGTAGCAATCTTCATCCAAGGATTGCAAAGGGTTTAAAATTTTTAAATCTCACCTGTTTTATGCCCATTACACAGATGGGAAGTTGAGACAGTCTATTAAGCTTTGTGTCATTAGCTGGAGCTCTTCATTCAATTAAGATGTTGTACTGAGATTAGGGTTTATTGTTCCCAGTCTCATGTGCTGATAAAGGCAACTTTCTCCCCAACAAACTGGTCTAGAACATGGAAACATGTTTCTGCTCCTGAAAAGCCACTAGTTGCAACATGGTATTTACTGTCTCAGTAATTTCTGTTTCAAATGTGCTCTGGCTATGAAGCAAAGCAGATGAACCTTAATTATACCTATGGTACACCCAGTTTGGTCGGAATTATGTGATGTTCTGGTCCCAGGCTGACAGCTAGGAAAGACAACAGGTGAAATCCTCCTGTCCACAGTGAAATAAGCGGTGTAACTCCTAGGGATTCAATGAGGTGAGGATTTCACCAAATACCACGTTTTTATTGTTCTGGGTCTCTGTCTGTTGAAATCAATGGGGAATTTTGCCATTAATTTCAAGAAGAGCAGCACTAAGCTCAAACTGAGCAAGTTTGCTCTGGAAGTTATTGACAGACAAACATGGAACTCCATAATCCCACTTTCAGAGTAGAACTACAATTGAAAAAAAAATCCTTCCTGCTACTCTAGGTACCCACACATGACTGATATAATAGCTTAATACACTCATCTCTGGGATAGGAAAAACTCTTCAATCTTCCGAAAGACCGTTAACATGAATCTCCAACAAGGCTAAGTAGTATTTCTTGGGGTGAATATACATTAATTCGTCTATTGTCCCTATTCATAGGCCTTAGTTCAGTGGTATGCATTATCCAGTGAAAGTTTTTATTGTCACAAGAATGATCAGCCAATACTTGTCACAGTTATGAGGCCAGTTGCCCATCCGTCTCCTTTCTGATTTCTCTGAGTGCAGTCCCTCAGCTGCTTGCCTGTACCTGTCTTGGGGTGGAATCTCATACTTCTTCCACTTTTAGCATATGACTACACTACAAAAAAAAAGCTTTTTTTTTAAACGTGGATTAGCTATTAGTTAAAATAGCAGCTGAAAATACAGCAACTCAGCTTTTTAACTTAGGCGGGAATAATACTTAACTTTTTAACCATTTTAACTTAGGCTTTAACTCAAGCTGCTAACCCATCAGGGAGCCTGGGGTTGAACTTGAGCTGCTAATGCAAGTTAAATGCTGAGTTGCTGTGTCTTCAACTGCTATTTTAATCTAAGTTAGCTAATCCAAGTTAAGAAAACAGCATTTTTTGATGTTGTGCCATACCCTTAGAGTAGGCCTTAGATGCACTACCCCATGTAGACAAAGACCTTATTATCCTTTAGGTCCAAAGAGGTTTTGGGCACCTGCATTTCTTCTATTCAGGAACTTGCCACCATTGATAGGCAACAACCTTCTTAAAGCAAAGTATCTTTATTTAGTAGTTGGAATAAAGTATCAGTGAAAAGTGGATTTTAAAACAGATGGCCTACATGCATATTTGGTCTTATTTAATCTTACACTTCACTGCAAGATAAATTAGGAACACAACAGAACCAAATAACGTTCTCCTAGCAAACCCAGATCCTCCTGTGTATCCCTTGGTATATCTTCACTGAAGAATTAGCTTGGGCTCTTGTTTGTTGCCCCTAATCCCCCTTCTGTCTACACACACAAACCTTTCACCTGAGTTTAGTGGTAAGTTGAAGGTGGGCTAGCTGGGGTGGCTGGGGAAAGAGTTAGAGCCTGGGTTCCATCTCCACTTGGGTGGGTAACTCTCCCACTTTAAGCTGGGCACACTTTCTATAAAATAAGATGTAGGAGGAATTGTTGGGGAAAAGTAGGTAAACAAGTTATCTTTCATAACCTGAATGTGCTGAATCTGGAAAAAAAGTTACCAATCTGAATTTTGAATATTTCACCTTCTAAATTGGAGTTCAAAATTTAGGTAAAACTTAAAAAAATAGTAAATGTCTTTACACTGACTTCTTCTGCACCATATTTAACTCATTACTAAGCCAGATCATGTCATGTCAGTACTACTATGAGTGGTTTCATGCTTAGTTTTTGTTATATTTCTCAAGAAATATTTATAACGATTAGTGTGGTATTTCCCTTCTGAGGCTATAGGGTCACTTACACCAGCCACATGTACACTAAGCTCATGTTCATATTCTGTTGTCTCAAGTATTTGTTCATTGTGAGTGTTGTTCCTGAAGAAAGTACTTGTTTGAATCTTCCATCCTGGCAGAAAATTAAAAGACTCCAGTTTACTATGGGACCTTGCTCCAAAACACTGTCAAGATTTTGGTGATTGTAGCACAAGACTGGGTTTGGAGTTCCCCCTTACCAGTTGACTAAAGTTCCTTCAGATTAATTTACGAATTCTGCTAATTTTACCGTTATCTGTGTACATTGCATAACAGATTTTATGTCAAAGTAATGGTTGCCTACATTCAGATTGAAGAGCTGTTAGAATTCTTCTATCAATTGCATCCATATTTTGGAAATCCTTGAGTTTCTGTCTTGTGTTGTAGCCAGTTTCTGTTCATTAGAAGCAAAAACGGTGTCTTTTTCATTTGTTGGAAAATAATGCATTGTTCATAACATACTGTTGGTAGAATCTTCAGGTGCAAGACTGCCTCCATGTTTCGTCTATGGAATACCTGACAATAATAATAAATATTATTAACTACCACATGAATATTGAATACATAACAAATATTTATTAGTATGTAGCTTATGCCATGGCACAGGTATCCAAATAAATATTCAATGCTTACATTCTAAGTAAAAGTCAGCTTTAGGTTAGATTATTGATTAAGGCTCATAACTAGCTAATAATTTATATTTCTGAAAGAGGAGAACTTATGGAAATCAACTATATCCTATTATATTGTATATGATACTTTGTGTAATGCATAGTAGTGCACTTAACTCCTTCACATATCAAAAATACCTGGAAAGTACTTTGTTTACTGAATTTTAAATGTCATCCTTACTGCAAAACCAACAAAATTCAAGTGCATATCATCATGTGACCAGAGGAAGCAGAGAGTTTGATCTTGAACAAGAATTGCTCCGTGCATTTTCTGATAGCCCAGTATGCCAAATTTGGGATATATTCCATATGTTTCTCTCCTTTATTTTTATTTATTTTTTGAAGTTACAAATGATAGCCATTTTCTTTTTTGTTTTTTACTTAACGTTGAAAATTCAGCTTGGTAAACACCATTTTCACATTCAGCACATTCAAATTATGAAAAAAAAAAAAACCCTGCATGTTTACAAACTTTTTACAGAAATGTTATCTGTTTCATTAATATCAACATATCTGGGAATTTTCAAAGAATCATAGAATATCAGGGTTGGAAGGGACCTCAGGAGGTCGTCTAGTCCAACCTCCTGCTCAAAGCAGGACCAATCCCCAATTAAATCATCCCACCCAGGGCTTTGTCAAGCCTGACCTTAAAAACCTCTAAGGAAGGAGATTCCACCACCTCCCTAGGTAAGGCATTCCAGTGCTTCACCACCCTCCTAGTAAAAAAGTTTTTCCTAATATCCAACCTAAACCTCTCCCACTGCAACTTGAGACCATTACTCCTCATTCTGTCATCTGCTACCACTGAGAACAGTCTAGATTCATCCTCTTTGGAGCCTCCTTTCAAGTAGTTGAAAGCAGCTATCAAATCCCCCCTCTTTCTTCTCTTCTGCAGACTAAACAATCCCAGTTCCCTCTCCCAGCAGATATCAGGGTGATTGAAGTCTCCCATGAGAACCAGGGTCTGTGATCTAGTAACTTCTAGTAATTTTGGCCTACTCTGAGGACACAAGCTAAATTATCCAGGTGCTGACAGGCCTCCAATGTCTTCCCACAATTACTCTTATGTGCCCTGAAGGACAGACAAGCTCTCCCAGAAGTCACTGGGAAAGAACCATAAAGCAACTCCACTTACTGCAGCACAAAGAAGCCTGTGATGTGCCATATCAGGGAAATTAGCACCCATAACTTGGGTAGGGTTTTGCAGTGCAGCTGCTCACACATGGCATTGATCACCCAGGCTAACACTGGTGTGCTGATACCACTGCCTAGCCTGCTGACTAGTATTGGCCCATTGTTTCCTTTTACTCCCCATCTGCCAACCTGTATCCATCTGTTGTCTCTTGTCTTATACTTAGATTGTAAGGTTTTGGGGGCAGAGACTGTCTTTGTTCTGTGTTTTGTACAGAGTATAGCACAATGGGGTCCTGATCTATGACTAGGGCTCCCAGGCTCCATGGGTCTCTTAGGCTACTTCAGTGAAAATGCTGCTGTACTGCCTCAGTGTAGACACTTGCTAGAGCAATGGAAGGGTTCTCCTACTGCTGTACTTAATCCACATTTCAGGGTGGTGGTAGCTAGGTTGACAGAAGAATTCTTCCATTGATCTAGTCCTGTCTATACCGGGAGTTAGTTTGGCTTAATTACATCATTCTGGGGTGTGGATTTTTACACCCTTGAGTGACATAGCTAACTTGACCTAACTTTTTAGTGTAGACCTGTCCTCAGTGTGGCTCCCTTTGACCATGCTGTGGTGATGCCCTGTAATTCTGGTGATCCTCACAAGCTACAGCCTTTAAGGATATAGTCTTTGGCATAGTCACTGAATGACCCTTAAGCGACCCTGGTAGGTGACCTCCTCCCTCTTTCCCTAGTGGGACTGATCTCCAGAGAGAAATATCCACCACCATTTGAAGTACAGCTGGTAATAGAAGACCCAAATGCTATATTCATGATCACCAAAGAGCAACCCACACTTCTCACAGACACTCTGCTCTCTTTGCCCGCTCCCTTCCATCCCAGTAGGTAAATTAAAACATAGAGAGCATAGCAGAATATCTGCCTTTTAAAGGGACACCTTCATGTGGAAAGATTCCTCAAATAGCCCATACTGTTATTTTCAAAACATTATATGGTCTACAAAGTATGGATAAAAATGGACTGAAAACTTGACCAACAATCTTCAATAGTTGCTTTAGTCTGTCATTAAATGGCTAGTAATAACCAAGGCAAAACAACTTCCAGATAAAGGCTGAATATTCATGAATATGGCAACTTTTTAAGTAACTACTGTATTAGGAAATGTTACTTTGTAAAAACGCAGACGTAATTGCATTTACTTACAAGTTACAATCTAATTACTGTCACTTAATCTTGCACTATTGACAGTTTTTGGTTATGTGCCTTATTAACAGAGGCAGTATAATTTAGCAGCTACAGAACTGCTCACAGTACAGTAGTTATTGTTTTTGGCTTCAGACTGTAGTTGTGAGAGCATTTAGTCAGTCAGTGTGTAAATAAATTAACAGGATTAATATGTGACTTAATGCCCCCGGACATATCTGCCATCATACAATATGATCTTATAGGTTATAAGTAATTACTAGTTGAATGCTAATGTAATGATTATTGGGTTGGTGAAATAATTACATAGGGTGAAATGAAAGGCAGCACATTCAAATTTCAATTAATTTTTCAAGCTTTGAAGAAAAATTCTCTTGCATAAAAGTACAGACTGTTTTACATTAAAATTTTAACGGAACCTCTGAAAAAGTTACAACAATTGAGCTGTAGCTCACGAAAGCTTATGCTCAAATAAATTGGTTAGTCTCTAAGGTGCCACAAGTCCTCCTTTTCTTTTAACAATTGCTCTGGTGCACAAAAGAAAAGACTGTTTGAGATTCACAAAGTGGGATTTAAAATGGGGGTGAGGAAGGAGTACACAGAAATACCTTTTTAACAGGGTGGTCTGTCCCCTTTAAAGGTATTAGAGACTAGGGTCAGCCTACCTCTGTTTCATGGCATGGCTCTGTAAAGTTTGGGGAATTTTGAGATACACAAGGGCCCAGAAAATAGCACAGGCAGATCCTGGTGGAGAGGAAGTGATCCCAGGGAATAATTAGTGTATGTGGGGAAACTCATCCTACTATTCTATTAGGGTATGTCCATCCAGCAATTAAACACCTACAATTGTCCCTGGACAGCTGATTCTGGCTTACAAGCCTCAGGCTTCATGGCTCTAAAATTTCAGTGTAGACATTTGGGCTTGGGCTGGAGCCAGACTATGGGACCCTCCCCACTTGGGTCCTCTGAGCAGGAAGTTTCCCAGAGTCCTGGCTTCACCCAAGCCCACACAGCAATTTTACAGCCCAAGCCCTGTGAGCCTGAGTCAGCTGACCAGGGCCAGTTGCAGGTGTTAATTGCTTGGTAGACATACCTTCATTGACCTGGGACCAGGACCCTTGTAGTGCAGGATGGGGCAAAGCTCCCCTCTCTCCCTGCCAACCGTGATGAGCCCTGGGAAGGAAGGCTATATATGCTACCTCCTTCCTCATAAAAAGAAGATACTAGCAGCAGGAACAATGCTTCCATCCCTCTATTGGCCCAGAAACAAAAGAATTGAATTAATAGGGGCCAGTCTGGTAGTAAATTATTATACTGAACCAAGAAGGAACTGAGGGTAGGGTGCCTGCAAGGTCACACTGTACCAGAAGGTAGTGTGCTTTTGAGACAGCACCTGGTCACATTCCTGTTATATAAAAATTATGTTATATCACCCACCCCCACCCCCAATCATGCTGAAACATATTGTACTTTTCCCCTTAAGCCAGATGGCTGTTATCTCAGAGAAGATCTAGATATGGGGGTGCCAAATGAAGACTTAAGTAAGGTGCTAACAGAGGATAAACTGATGGGCACAGTCGATACCAATTCATTGACTGGTAGATCAGAAGAAATCTGAAAAGCAAAACATATAAAGCCAGATTTTAAAGCACTCAGCACCCACACAAGCACCTAAATAAGATTCATGGTGAAATTCTATCCCTACTGAATAGAAGTTTTGCCACTGACTTCAAAGGGATCAAGATTTCACCCTCAGGTTTCAAATAGCTCAACACCCAATGTGCTTGAAACTTGAAACCAGAAGTACCAGTAACCAAGACTTTTTTTCACCCCTATCTCATGAGACAAAAGAATTCAACAAATGAAAAGATAGCGAAGCCCTGTAAAGAGGTGTCACTTGTTAATAAGAGTGTCACTTTTGTTATTTTTGAGTCGTGATGTCAGTCATCCAACAAAAGAGTAAGTCCTCGAAATGCATTAACAGAATAATTCCCCATTGCTGGGTGACTTTTATTTTAAATTTCCGCAAAGTGCAACAAAAACACCACACAGTCTTAGGAGTTGTTTGTTCCAGACACTCCTCAGAGGTACCCAGCCACAAAGGCATTACCACAAAAGTGAATTCAACTATGAAACATAAAATGTGTTAATTTGCCTCCTACTTCCAGGAACAACCACACCAGCTCTTTGTTTATTTGGAGGGAAGACTACCAGAAAACTGGGAAGGGAAGTACTGGGGAGATACCCTTTTCTCCTCTGGATCCTGTTTGGGGCGACTACTTTTTTGCATCTGCTTCCCTGAAACTGCCTACACAAATCACTGAAGACATCTTGCTTGCTGGGGGCTCTTCTGCTGCATTTAACAGTCAACTACCTACTTCTCCTTGAAATACTCTCTTCCTTAGGCTTCTGGGACTGCCCTTTCTTAATACTTAATCCCATTCATGTTTTCTGATGCTGCCTCTTTCTTTCCCTCCCACACTGTTATCCCATGGGGTGGTTCTTGATTTTTTTTAAACCTTCGATAATCTTCCTCCAAGTGACCTCATTCTCTTGCTTGGCCTCTAACTCTCATACTCAGATCTATCTATTCTCTCCTTATCTCTGTAGTAAAAATTTAACTGAACAAAATTAGAGATGACTAATCTATTTCCTACTGGACATTTTTATCCATTTCCTGCCAACGCAGCATGATGCACCTTTCCTGTATAACAAAATCTGTTTCTTTATGTTGCTGAAGAACTGCAGTGCATAATTTTATCTATTTTATACTTTGCTGTCAAAGGTATGGAACTTAATCAAATCAAGATCACAACTGGTTCATTAGTCACCTGGTTAATCGGTTTAACAATCTAAGAAATCATGCCTAAAAATGCTAAATACAATACAAGCTTAGTATGCATTAGTAGCTGTGAATCTATTTTACTAGTTGTAATGTTGTCTGGTTAAAATATAATTATGCAAACCATTGTTGCTACCACTGCTATATAATTGCAGGAAATCTTATACAAAATATAACTCATGGCCAGAAAGGGTTAAACAGCTTGCAGGCTGAATGACCCAGAGCTCACCTTTAAAATCAGGTTAGAAATGGTGATTAAGGCCATTCAATGCTTAATAGGCTAGAACTTTGAAATGCAAACCTATGTTGTTAGAAGTTAGAGGTAATGTTAATTGTGTGTATCTTTGATGCTAGCCATGTAAACAGATAGTTCCTGTCACTGTAACTATTAATTCAGAGATCAAAAGGGAATATTAACATTTAGATGAATCTTGGGTGAAGTAATGTCATTTTCTATATCTCTCTTTGAGGTTTGTGATAGACTGCCTAATGAATAAATTGCCCTATGTTAATTTGTGTAACTGATTACTGGTAGTGTTTAGGAAGCAGAAGGTTACATCAAAAGCCTATTGTTTACTCAGGACTGTATGGTCAAGTGGCTGCTAGAAAACTGTTTAAAAGACCATTGGGTCCTGATTCTGTCATCTCAGATCTGCTTAAGCTTCAGCAGGGGAAATTTGAGTCACCAGACTGAGATCTCAGTTATGCTGGTACTCCCTGAAGGTAATATTGGATGTTGGACTATAACCTATGGAATAAATTCTAAAGGAACTCTTTGCAACTACAAAGCTCACCATCTCTGCTATGTATCTGAACCTCAAGAATTGAACTCATGTCTGTATGTATATTGATCTTTTAACCATACTCTCTCTCTTTTCTTTTTTTAATAAATTTTGGTTTAGTTAATAAGAATTGGCGGTAAGCGTGTATTTGGGTAAGATCTGGACTATTCAATAATTTGGGAGGTAATATGTCTGACCCTTGGTATTGGTAGAACCTTTTCTTTTAAATGATGAAACAAGATTTTCAGAAATCTTCATCATATTTGACTTGGGTACCTGGATGGAGGCCTGAGGCAGGGTTAGTTTGAGGGAAATCTGTTGCTGGTTTCTGGGCAACCAGTGAGGTAATACAGAAGCTGTTTTCTGCTGGCTTGGTAAATCTAAGTATTTAAAAATCCACTTGCTTTATGGGGATTCTTTTCAGTTCACCATAACTGAGTGACCTCAGCTGGTCCTCACTGGGATCCCAGTCACTCTAGTCAAAGTGAATATTTGCAATTCTGTAGTGCAGTAGTTGATGAGTTGCACTTCAAACTCATTGTCACTATGAAGAAATTACAATATAAAAACTATTTTCATTTCACTTCAGAGAATCATAGTCATCTCACAAACTGTAATATTTACCAATTTTGATTTCCCATTAGAGCATAACCTATTTTAAGGATCTTCAGAAACATTTGATTATGAGACTTGAATACACTACTAATCATCAGCTTTCCCCCCTTCTGAATAGACTTTCCTGTTTGTTCTTTAAGAATGAAATCCTGGTCCCAGTGAAGCTAGTGGAAAAATTCCCACTGACTTCAATAGGGCCAGTATGTTAACCTGAATGTCTACCGTTCAGTTTTGATATATCTTCTTATTTTAAAGGCGATGATATAGGAATTCAGTATTATTCTGCAAGGATGATAAATTTAATCCTTATTGCTGAATAGTTTCTTTTCAGACTGTCATTATATACTGTATAGATGGGGAAAACGCAAACTGACAAAGAAAGCACTGAATGTTCAAGTCAATATTTCTATAATGATAAACCAAAATCTCATTTCTTGTGCTAAGATTCAGTTATGGCTTATTATGGCAGGGTTTCTTTTAAAGAAAAGACATTGGAATGGTTTGCAGTATGAACAGCTAATCACTTCATTTCATACCATGTTTCTATGATATGTTTAACAAAATGTATGACAGTGTAATATGATCTAATTTATTTCAGAATCAGCAATTGATTCTATTCTATGCTATGCTTTATAAGACATTAAAATGAGAGTGAAATGATCACAAAATCATACAAGATATTAATGAGTCATTTTTATAACATGTACATGGTAGTAAAGTTAGGGAGTCATATTGGGTGTAATCCTTGCCCCGTTGAAGTCAATGAGGTTTTGCCATTGACTTCAATGGGCCAGGATTTCACCCATTGCTCCTTCAGAAATCTAAAGCAGGGAACGGCAACCTTTGGCACGTGGCCCATCAGGGAAATCTGTTGGCAGGCCGGGACGGTTTGTTTACCTGCAGTGTCCACAGGTTCGGCCGATTGCAGCTCCCACTGGCTGCGGTTTGCCGTTCCAGGCCAATGGGGGCTGCAGTACCAGATGCATCTGAGAAAGATTCACAAAACCATTAAATAAGCAATTATGGAATATGGGAAGTTAATACCTGCAGAACCCTCATGCACCAATTTATGCCCTAAACCATGATGGTTTGTATCTTTTTCCAAACATCTTAAAAAACACTTGCCTCATGAAGCTGTGGGATGTGCTCATTAGACATATGCAGATTCCTGAATCCTGCTAAGCGCTCACCTCAATGATACCCTGTGGTAATGAGTTTCGCAGGTTAACTATGCATTGCCTAAAATGTATTTCCTTTTTCAGTTTTAAATTTGCTGCCTTTCAATTTAATTCAATGTCCCCTTGTCTTGTATTATGAGAAAGGATTAATAGGATTGTCTGATTTACTTGTCAATTTCATTCTAACAATTGAATAAAATTAACAAAGAAAGGCAAATAATTGGCAATGACAAGAACTTTTGTATTATGCCTCTTAGCACAGAAGTTCAGTCTTCATTTTTATCCTGGGTTTCTTTCTAAAGATGGGTAAGGGTATCGTTCAGGGCTCCAACATATACATTAACATATCTGCCAAAGGTCAGTCATAATCAACATTACAGTATATTTCTAGATAACCTTTCAAAAAATTTCTAAGACACTCAGTTAAAATATAGATCAAAGTTGTGGAAGGGTAAAACATTTATAAAATTCTAAAGTTTGAGGTATGCTCAAATCCAGTATGTTTGTTTGGGATAGGAATTCTGAGTAGTAGACATTTTCGAAGAGTCTATGTGCTACAGGGTGTCCTGGCATATTTTAAAGAAGAGTGTCTTTTGGAAGCTTCCAATTCCCAAAATTGGTCCAGTCTAGTCATATTCTTCAAAAGCAAATGGGCAGAAAGGAACCTGTGTATATATTTGACTTAAAAAAAAAAAAAAACCCAAACCAACCAACCTCAGGTCACTGTTTATTTTAAGCACAGAGTTATTTAATCAGTTCTCCGTGGAAGTAAATAGGCTGCCACAATGCTTGTCTGTATTGTTACAAAAAATGCTCTCGTGTGCTGCCAACCTCAGTGTGCTGCCTCTGTCTGGCACTGAAGCACTATCTTTTGCTGCCATGCGGTCTGCATTCCCTGAGAAAGGGCGGTGCTGCACTGCCTTGCTGATTATCTACTCTGCTCTGGAAAGTGCTCCCTTGTGCTGCAGTATTCCATTTTAAAGTTCTCTTCTCTGCTGCTTGTCTCCCTTCTGAAACACTCTTCACAATGGCTTTATTTTACTGCTTTCAGTTACAGTTTCATTCTAGAGCATATTCTTTCTGTGCACTCTTCAGAGGGGGGTTGGTTTTTTTCGGTATTTGAACTTGGGGAAATTTGTAGTTGGGGAGTGGGTGAGGAATTGAAACTGTACATTTTAATTACTCTCCGACTGTAACCTGCTCAGAGCCATGTTCTCCACAGAGATGTCAACAAGACAAAATGTAAACTGTGCTAAATCATCCCAGCAGACACAGTTTTCAAGCTTGCACTGACAACAATGGTATTAGCTGTTAGGCAAAGAGTATGTGTAAACATGAATCCATTCATTTTGGATGAAATTCACTCCTGGGCAGAAGGCCAGCACAAGGCCTGTTATACTATGGGAGTGGGACTTAAGTTATGCTAGCCGCTCTGTAGGAATGAGTTTCACCCTCTGTTAATTTGGTGAGCATGAAACTTGAGTAGAGGGAACTTCGTATGTCTTCCATATCTCCTTTCATCTCCCTGTATCGAAAACTAATAAGCTACAGTACTAACAGGTAAGAGGAGTACCCTAAAGCACAACTTTACCATCTCAATGTCCTCCTTGAGGACAAAGTGACCTCAGCTACACTGAGGTAAATTCTTATGTAGGCCCTCCCCTGAGATGTGGCTTAACCCTCCTCCTTTTTCTCTCCCTGGTGCTTACTATCCCATTTGTAGCAGCTTCTCCCCTCTCCTCATGTGGGTCGGGTTTTAGATTTTTGTTTTCATTGGTGCCTGGTGCCTCCACTTCAGGGATTCCTCACTGTGCCAGATATGCAATTAGTGCTGATACTGCGAGATGGCAAGGAGAGTAAAGCACACTATACAGGAGACAACGTACCTGAGACAAAGTCCAGCAAAGGAATGACTCACCAAAAATATCTGCATGATATAGGGGGTGACTTTACTGGGAACAGGAAAATTGGATCTGGGGAAGGAAGGAGTTAAGATAACTAACCATTATTAAACGTAAATAAGACAATATCCTACCTTCTAACAATTAAACTCCTCCAAGCTCCAGTTCCCTCCCTAGCACCTCCCCGAGGCAGGTAGTACACTGAGGTTGAGTGTCCTGAGATGGAGTACTGCCGAGGCTGGCTTAACCAAAAGTCACCTCACTTTTTCTTCATCCTGGGCTTTGGTAGGGTGCTCTCCCAACTCCAACTGGCCTTACTTGTTTCCTGTGTTGAAATCTCCCTGGGGTCTCAGCTTGCTTGTGGTAGCTGGTGCCAGATTGGCTCTCTCTAGATGATGGGCACTGCAGTGCTGGAGCTGCCAGATTCATGCAGCCATAGACTGAGAGTGGTACAAACTCACTTTGAGAGAATGGGGATTTCAACAGAAATTATTGTCTCTCCCAGCCTCCAAAGCCAAAACTGAAACTAAACTCTCTCTCTCTCTCAAGTCAGGCTGTCCCCTTGCTAGGGGCTGTGCAGCCGTGGGTTGTCATTGGTCCAGTGGACTGTTTGCCCTGAACACTCCAGGCTGAAGCCTCCCTATTAGTCCCAGCAGGGGGTTCTACAGTAGAACCTCAGAGTTGCGAACACCTTGGGAATGGAGGCTGTTCGTAACTCTGAATAAAACATTATGGTGGTTCTTTCCAAAGTTTACAACATTAAGTCAACTGAACGTTAACTTAATACAGCTTTGAAATTTTACTATAAAGAAGGAAAATGCTGCTTTTAACCATCTTATTTTAAATGAAACAAGCACAGAAACAGTTTCCTGGCCTTGTCAATTTAAAAAAAAACCAAACTTTATTTTTGTAGTAGTTCACGTTTAACACAGTACTGTATTTGTGCTTTTTTTTTTTTTTTTGTCTCTGCGGCTGCCTGATTGTGTTCTTCCAGTTCCAGAAGAGGTGTATGGGTGACCAGTCAGTTCGTAACTGTGGTGTTCATAACTCTGAGATTCTGCTGTACTTCCTTCAGTCCACAGCTGGGCTCCAAGCATGCTGGCAATGGGGTCAGAGGGCTTTAGCAACCATTATAGTTGTCCTTTGGATAAGGCCCTCTACAGACTTAGACTGGAGTTCCAAACTGCAAGTGGGGGTTACACTTAGTAATTCCATTGATTTGGGAGGTGATATTCTGTATTAACCCCCTGGTAAATCAAGTCAGATTTTGGCTCAGAGAATCATATTTACTACTTCCTTCTGTAACCTGGATATTTGATTTGACCTTGCAATTGTCAATTTCTGCAAATTGGCCGTCTGTTAAAAACAGCCAGAATATATTCTCCACCACACCACTGAAGAATCTGATTATGTTTAGGGCAACAAACATAATTTTGTGTATCATCAACCCAGAATCCCAATAACATTAGTGGTCTGGTTATGTTTCTATACTTACAGAACTTCTGACTGACCGCACTTTAGATATGTTAGTGTTTGGCATACCACAGGTTTGGAGACAAGCTTTGCAGGTTCTCCAAGCACTAGGCTCCACAGGCTCTAACCCTCAATGGGTTCCTTTAAATACACATCTCAAATAAGTATTGTGATTCCTTTACTAGGACTGGCCAAAAAATAAAAGGGACAGATACTCTAGGTACAAGGACTTCAGTATTTACAACAATCAATCAGCCTGGCAGATCCTAACTTACAATCACAGAGACAGTCCAGAAGAGGGATGCTAGGCTAACTGCTTCTCAGTGGAACCCCTCCACGTTCTTTTACTGCCTTCCCCATGTGTTGTCATCCCATGCCCCTTGCTTGCAGGCTATTCCCTGCACAACTTTCAGACTACCTGTTACCCAGTCTTCCTTCCGCTGCCAGCTCCCAAGTAGCTGCCCGGACTGCTTGCTGTTCCTGCTTACACATATCTTCCAGCTCTCTGGTCAGCCTGATATCCCTGAAACCTCAGACTATTACTCCTTTTTCCTATACTGTGAAGATTACAGAGACCTCTACTGACACCTTGATTTGTAACACCGTGCTCTCTTTTGGGTAGGTTCTTCTACCTCCACATCATCCAGAGTTGGGGGAAAAGTACCTAGTTATTAATCAGAAGGTTCTTTACACACCATTCTCTTCTTATCATCAAGCTGGAATATCGTCTTGATTTATTTATCTTTGGCTTATTTTTCTTCCTTTCCACGTTAAGTTGCATAATGAATATGGTGTCAAATATTCATTTGCAGTTCTGTTTTCATTATTCTGGGAACATTGTGCCACCATTCTTTATCATATTAGCTTGTGTTCCCTCCAGCACGCTCATAGAGAGCTTGAGTCACAGGGTGTGACTTTCAGAGTGTGGGGCTTTACCCCCAACTGTGACTAATCAACTGTCTTCCAGCTGGTGGGACAAAAGGCCCATAAGCAGCTACCTTAAAGGAGTGAGTCATAGATGGACTCTCACAGGAGACCCTTGTTCAGAGCAAGACCTGGAAAGCGGGTTTGTCACACTAGCTAGATGGAAGAACTGACTGGGGATACCTGCTGTGTAAATAGCAGCAGAAATCCACTGAGGAACAGGTTCAGATACGGTACTGGCTTATTTGTTTTCATTGATGTTGAACAGTGTTGGAACAATAAACATGTCTTTAGGGAAAAGGACTGAAATATTGATGCTAATGAGAGCCTTATTGATATGCTAGCTGGTGAGTTAGCCTGCCAGCTTGTACAAGAGTTGGGAAACTGAGGCAGGAACAGGGTCTGAGGATGAATTTGGGTGGGAAGACTTCCACAAAGCTAAATAAGGAGTTGCTTTGATTACCTTTAAATACTTTCACATTGTGCTGTATGAAGCTGAAATGCTATTAGGTGCTGACCTCCTTCAATTCCCATTGATGTCAGTAGAAACTGAGGGTTCTTGTCACCTCACAGGATTGAGGCCCATTTGAATAACCTTTGTTTGCTAACAGAAACAATAATTTTGTCAGAGAGAAAAGGAAACATGTGCCTGGAAATTTAAACTAGAGCTGGCTGGAAAATGATAAATACTGCTGTGAAAACTTCTTTAAAGAATTGGGTTCTTTCTCAAAAAGAAAAAAAAGAAAAATTTCCAAATGTTCATTTCTAAGAAATGCCATTTTCTTGTTTAAACTTTTTTTCAAATGCGAAATTCCAGCCTGCTTTAATTATGCTTTAAGTATGAACCAATACTGACACCCTTGATTTACAGTAACACACCTAGAAAGTGACTGGATCACCTACCTTCAATATAGGGGTAGAGGAAGCTCCCTATATGAGTCATGGACCAAGGAAATAAAGTCTGATACCCTGCTCAGAGAGATCAGAATTATCTCATACATTTTCCCCCTACGCAGAGGTCCAGCACCACTTAAGTCCCATTTAAAACAAAATTGTGTAATTTAGAGTATTTTCTCCCATGTCCTCTTGCCAGTCATGAGTCCAAGTTTAATACATGTTTGACGTTTGTCATAACTTTTTCAGGAGGCACTGTAGTGTTTGGTTCTGTAGACCCCATTTATAGTTGATAGTTAATTAAACTCAGATTTGTGACTAGGTCTGGGATATGAATCTCAATGATCTAGCATAGACTGATTCCTCTCATTTGTGTCTCTAACCCTCACATGAGGAAGGAGTTATAGAGAAATTAGACTTCTGGGTCTCATTCCTTATTATGTTTACAGAGTGGCTGGATAGCCTCCCCCCAGTTTTAATGATTGCTCATGAGATTCTGGCATTGTTAAGTGTCAATACTGAGATTCCTCACTGGACAAGTTCCTGTTAGGAGAAGTGAGACAAACCCCACAATCAAAAAAGGGTTTGGCTGCATGGATCCAATTGCAGGAGATGGGGCTTTCTACTTGGTCCCAGTTTTTATAACCATGTAAAATAAAGTGCCGTCTCTGAATATGCCTGATAGTTATGGAGGTTCAGATTTGGATACCTCTCTTTTGATTAAATCCCACTTTGCATCTAACTCTTTCCTATAATCCAATTGTAGCAACTGGATGAGTGAGCATTCAGACCAAATACTCCCTACCCCAGACTTCCAGTTTAGTAATATTAGTATCCATTTTATTAATCCTAGCAGTTTATTGTTCAAAATTCACACAAAGGAAATAAGATCTGTAATACTTACACATATATATACAACCCAGCTCATTTTTATTTCACCCCAGGTGCAAACTACTGCCAGTCAGAGCAGTATTACAGCCGCATCCATTTAGCACTCCCTAAACTGCAAGAATTCCAGAACAAAATATAGTGAATCACAACAGCTGGGCTTTATAGCGGAGCCAGATTTCCCATGAGCTTTAGTAGCGCAAACAAATCAATATTTGTATTTGTACATTATAGTATAATTATTTTAAAGGTCTTAAAAGCCTAACTTAAGACTGCCTCCCTGAATCCCTTTTACATGAGAAAACAATTTAAAATGATCCCGACAAGCTTGCAAAATAGCTCCTCCCCACTCACCGAAAGTCCCTAGTGCTTTGGGAAGTTTGCACCCTTAGCAAAATGGTAAAGTCAGGGCACCAGTCTGCAGGTGTTAAAACACTGAAGTAGTTTCCTTTGGTAAAGTAGTCTATTGTCCTAGGGCTTGTAGCAAGGAACCTGATGAAATAGCAATGACAAAGAGAAAGAAAGGACTTTTTTTTCTTTACTAGGCAAAAAATTAAGTATAAAGTTGCTTATGCCCTGCTTAACATTTTTATATTATGGTAGTCATTTTTGTTATATTAGGTTTATAACCACTATTGGAAGTGGAGAGAGAGAAACACATTAGCTGAAAAGAAAAGGCAAATGAAGTGCCTGCTCTTATCTCTATAGACCTTAGACAATGGCAAATACTACTCAATGGATGGAGGCTCAGATGAAGTTCAGAGTACATGTTCTTTCTGAGAGCATATTGATCTTTTCCTGCCAATATTGATTTCTAACATTAAAAAAACCAAGGGAAGGGATGGTACCCATTGTGTTACGGTTTGCTGAGAGTTACAGGGGATATTGCAGGAGCGCCATATGGTTATGCATGTATCAAGTGAGAGGTCTCTGCCACATTTTTACCTGAGGGAGACAAGGTGGGTGAGGTAATCATTTATTGGACCAACTTCTGTTAATGAGAGAGACAAGCTTACCTCACCAACCTTGTCTCTGTAATATCCTGGGACCAACATGGCTACAACAACACTGCATACAACATTTCTACCTTGTCAGTTGGTATATTGGTTCATCTCAGCTACTTAGTAGTAAGTTGGGAAAAAACCAAACTCCAATGCAGTTCATTTTCAGGAAAATGGGGGCCAATTTTTCAAGTATATATGCATATGCTTAGATTAACTCACATGAAGAGTCTCACTGGATTCCACGAGGCTACACATAAGTGTATACGGGCTCGGGGCTTTAGTTTGTGTAAGGTTGGGACATGTAGTGAGGCAACT